AGCGGCGCGGGCGGGATGCAGGGTGGCCGGGGCTGCCGGGAAGAGGCGTTTCCGCCCGGAGCCTGTACCGCGGCACCGCCCGCCGGCGCCACCCCAGCGGGCAGTGCTTGACCTGGACCCCGGGGACGACACACGCTGTCCCCGCGCCCCCTTGGCGGGCAGTGCACGACTTGTACCCCGAGGCCGGGCACACGCTGTCCCTTCGCCCCCTTGGCGAGTAGTTCCCCCTCTAGACCCGGTAGAACCGGCCGGGATACTGGCTTGGCCTGCGGGGTTGGGGCTGGTTCTGTCACTCCTCGAGGGTGTTTCCCCTCCCACCTCTAGTTCTTGGGCACCCCAGTGGTGGAACTTTGCAGCCTCCGGGCCCCTCTAACTAGTATACCTGCCGCCTGCGGCCGAAGCGGTCAGTTCTGCGGGGGAACTCCGGGGTCATTGGCCTGACACTTTTCCTTCTTGGATGAAGTTGTTTTCAGTATCAGGGCCCGGGTCGGCAGTTTCACGCTGCAGTGATCAATACTCAGAATTCTGCGCGCGTCTATTGGGAGTGGTGTGCGCGACCCGGGCGGGCAGATGGCCGCTTCACGCCGGTTGGTGGCCCTGCCCTCGGCCGTCCGGGACCCTTGAAGCTGCGCGGCTCAGCGCCGTGAGGCCCCAACATGGGATCAGACGCCGAGGCCTGTGTTTTCTCTGCTGCACTTTGCTGTTTCCTGAGGGGGCAGGGGGTGTCGGGTTGCAGGTTTAAGTGTTAGACCCCAAGTACACATTCCAGAGAAGGAGGTTTTTAATGGCAAAGCACGCCCACCCGGCGCCAGGCTATGCCCTGCCCGCCCCTTCACCAGCGTTTACAGCTGGGCCTCGCCAAGGCCTGCGGTCCTGGCCTTCTTGACTTGCCCACACCTTTTCCACCCTGGATGCCAACCCCAAGATCTGCCCGGTGGTGGTTGGTGTCACCGTCTTCCTGCCCGAAGTCCGAGATCCCCTGCCTCACCAAGGCCAGACTCCTCTTCTGCCCTGTGAGACCTTTTGTGATCTTGCCTCCCCTAGCCACGGGTTTGGGCTCCTAGTCGGCATGCTTTCGGCTGCAGCTCTGCCCCTGCCTCTGCCCTTGCAGACGCTGTGCCCACCCCTGACTGCCTTGCCCACGCCTCCCGCTGCTCGGCTTCAGGCGTGGGGCCCTCTGACCTCTGGGCAGCCTCTGGGGGCTCTAGTCTCAGGACTCCCTCCTTTCTGTGAACTCTGGCTTATCTGCTCGGTGACAATGGCGTACGCTGGTCCTTGGTTATGAGCGGGTGTCCACAGTGGTTTAGGCCTTTCCTGGAGCAGGCCTCATCCCTTCTGGGCCCACACTGGGCTTGTTCTTTGTACTGGGGCTGGGGGACCTCCTTGCTTCAGGGCCGTTAGGGCTGATTATCATCCCATTTTGTGGGTGAGGAAACTGAGACTCAGGTTCACAGAGGGCCACGGTGGCGTTTTCTGACTGTGTGGACTGAGTGTGCACCCGCACCCTGGGCACCCTGAGACTTTTCAGTCTGGGGGACATCCTCATGGAAACGCCCGGATCTGCTATGCAGAGAGCGGTTTGGATGGAGGTTCCACCTGGGATGGCGGCCGTGGTGAGCGTGGGCGGCCGTGGTGAGCGTGGGCCGTTGTGGTGAGCGTGGGCGGCCGTGGTGCGCGTCGGCGGCCGCGGTGAGTGTGGGCCGCCGCGGTGAGCGTGGGCGGCCGCAGTGAGCGTCCTGGGCCGTGGTGCATGAGGAGGGAGCGAGGACAGGTTGCCCGTTGTGGTGAGCGTCGGTGGCCGCAGTGATCATCCTGGGGGATGTAGCATGAGGAGGGAGCGAGGACAGACTGCATGGAGTCCAGCATGGAGAGACAAGGAGGAGCTGGAGCGTGTGGGGGAGAGGCCCCAGGTCGCAGAGGGACAGGCATTAAGGGCCAGCAGAGGGCCTGACAAGGAGCCCTGGTGGCATAGTAGTCAAGAGCTCAGCTGCTAACTGAAAGGTCTGCAGTTTGAGCCCACCAGCGGCTCCGCAGGATAAAGATGTGGCAGTCAGCTTCCATAAATATTAAAGCCTGTAAACCTGTTGCTTTTGAGCCTGTTCTGACTCTTAGCAACCCCATAGGGCAGAGTAGAACTGTCCCATAGGAGTTCCAAGGAGCAGCTGGTGGATTCAAACTGCCATCCTTTTCGTTAGCAGCCAAGCTCTTAACCACTGCGCCAACAGGGCTCCTCCGTAAAGATTACAAAAACAAAAAACAAAACCCATGGCTGTCGAGTTGGACTCATAGCGACCCTATAGGACAGCCGTATGGGACAGAATAGAACTGTTCCATAGGGCTTCCGAGGAGTGACTGGTGGATTAGAACTGCCTGCCTTTTGATTGTAAACCCTGGTGGCGTAGTGGTTAAGAGCTATGGCTGCTAACCAAAAGGTCGGCAGTTTGAATCCTCCAGGCGCTCCTTGCAAACCCTATGGGGCAGTTCTGTTCTGTCCTATAGGATCGTTATGAGTCAGAATTGACTGGACCGCCTAGGGGCAGATGGCCAGGCCGGAAGCAGGAAGCAACTCTCTGTCTCACCCTTCCTAGGCCTCGCTGCGGGGTGGGGGGCAGGCACTGTGGAGGCCTGACACGTGTTGTCTTAGAGAATTTAAACCTCACCTTAGTCGTGAAGGCAGAGTCAGAACCTGAGGTAGATTGCTGGCCCACTCTCGGCCTATGGGGATTGTTGTTGTGTCCAGACAGCCCCAGCTCATGGCAGCCCCACGCACAGCGGAACAAAACCCTGCCCAGTCTTGTGCCATTACCACGATTGGTTGTGGATCAGACCCTTGTGGTCCATAGGGTTTTCAGTGGTTGATTTTCAGAGGTAGATCACCAGGCCTTTCTTCCTAGTCTGTCTTAGTCTGAAAGGTCTGCTGAAATCTGTTCTGCATCATAACAACACACAGCTTCTCTGCTGACAACACACAGTGCACATGAACTGCATTGGCTGAGAATCGAACTCAGGTCTCCTGCATGGAAGGCGAGAATTCTATCACTGAATCGCCACTGCCCTCAGTAAGTGGTAGGTCCTGGATTTACACTCTGGCAGCTGGCCCGAGTTCACCATTTCTCTCTGCCGCTGTGTCCTACACTCACCAGGAGATGGAGAAGGGCCCTCTCTTTGAGATACCACGTTTTACAAGGGCCCTTGATACCCTTGGCTGCCTCCCAGGTGACCTGGAAGTGTTACCACAATAACGCGGATTGGAGCCGCCTGCCGCAATAGCCAATTCTGAGACGGAGGTGAGGTGAGCGGCAAGAGTTTTATTATATATCGATATATAGGAGACAGAGGGAATAGATTCCTCCAAAAAACCTGTCTCCCCCACTGGAGATGGGCTGAAGGCTTTTATAGGGACAGGATTATGGGTCTTAGAAGTCTGTGTTAGTTCCCCCTTGAGGTGTTCATGTCTCAGATGAGTTAATCTTTTACTGGTATTCTTGGGGGTTATTTGGCGACATTCTTGGGTATTATCTGGCGACATCCTGGTTTTTCTTCTCAGAAGATGGGTGCTTGTTCGGTTTTTCATCCCTAGATCATTATCACTTGTTTTCCACCCTCCAAGGAGGAATGTGGGTTAATCGTAAACCTTTGTGGAGACTGGAACCTGAGGGAAAGACAAGATCCTGAGACAACGTGGCGGTCAGCAATGGGGAGTAAATAATAGAGAGCCGGGCCGATGCAGCCTCTTCCAATCCCCCTTTTATTGGAAGTTTCTCAGTCTTGGGAAACAGGGCATCACTTCTTTTCTGGCTACTTCGTGCTAGTTAGGGGCGTTGGCTTGGGTGAGAAGCCTCCAGGTATCGACTAGGGGCCATAGGTGAGGGGTGAGTTAGAGTGGAAATTGGCTGTATCTTGGTGAATAGATGACGTTTGTCCTCAGAGCTTGAAAAAGGGGTGTCCCGACTTACCAGGGTAAAAATTTTTCTAGCCTTAGGAGTTTTGTAGTTCCTTTTGTTGATATTCTCATAAACCAGGGAACACAAAAACAAACTAGAATAATCATTATTCTTAAGGTTCCTCTTTCGGGCTCTTCTATGGCTCACTTAACTGGACACTACTGGAGTTAGGGTTGAGACTACACACGGGAGGGTCAGAGTGTCCCCAGCTTGCAGGGTTGGTGTCCCCTTTGCCTGTGGGATCACCAACACTTTTTCTGTCCAGGTCTCCTGAAAAAAATAGAAAGATAGAGGGAAACAAGGTCAAAATCATTGTACTGTAAGCTTCTTGAACTTGTACTTCAGGCCCTGAACTGGAGTACAAGAGTATGGTGGCCCTTTGTTTTCTGCTTCTTTCTGTTTTTTTGGTGGGGCTGCTTTTACTCTCCAGTGATGCACCCATGCGGCTACTTCTGTTAATTTCAGAGATGAGTGGCTGGTCAGGAGAACTTCAAAAGGTCCCTCCCACTGAGGGACCAGTTGATCTTCCGGGGGTTGATTCTTCCAGGTTTTCGACAGGACCTGATTTCCGATCTCTGGGTTGGAACCTGTGGAGGGGGGTGACAGAAGGAAAAGACAAAAGAGAAGAAACATACTGATTAGCAGTGTTTATGACAGCTCTCAGAGAACAGACCCAGTCTCTTTTCTCTACCCCGGTCATCACCGAGG